AAGAGGCATGCTTTTGCAGGCGGGTGCTGCGGGCGTGGCAGGGGCATGAGGCAGGCTATACAGCTGTCTGGCGCAAGGCACAGCCCTTGCATGCACACACACAGACGCTCTGGTTCCGTGTGCCCGCAGGGACGCCCGTGCCCGACCATCCGCGCGTTGCTGTGATGGCAGACGGCAGTGCCAAGCCAGCCAAGTACAGCTACACCAGCACAGTGCAGAACCTGGAAGGCTTTCCTCCGTGGAGCGGCAGCTATCTTGGCTGCACTGCGCATGGGGTGCTGCACCGTTTTAGCACGGGCGACCTGGCAAGCGAAGCCCAGCAGCGCTATGCTTGTAGGGCAGCCGGTGATGATGGCGACGATGCCGGGGGCGACAGCGCCGTCGCCTGCAGCAGCAACTTGACATGCAGCCGTGCCAGCGCCAGCGCTCGCGGAGTAGTCGATATCGCNGGCGTCGCTGGTGTGGTCTGCGCGCATGGCGTCCCCCTGCTCAACTGCTTCGTGCCTATGCCCACTCCTGAGCAGCATGCCTACCACGTGGCCAACCTGGTTGAAGCAGTCCAGCGGCGGCCTGACATCCGCGACATCTACATAGACATTGGTTGCCGCGTGAAGGGCACGTTAAGGGCGGCGTTTGAGGAGCTGACACAGCAAGAGCCGCCACTTCTGTTGCCGGCAAGTTTGGAGAAGGTGGGTTGCAGAATTTGTGTCTCGCTGGATAGGCAACTCAGGTTGCCTAGTACCTTGCTTACCTTGCAGATCAACATCTGGGTGCCATGGATGCATGGCTTTGATCACGACCTGCCGTGCCAGCTGAAGAACAGTGGGCTGTACCAGGTGCGTGAGCTTACCCCGCGTGCTGGGCTGCCCCTGCAGGGAACACCTGACTTTCCTGCCTGCCGGACCTTGGGCCTGTGCATTGCAAAGTAGTATCTCATGTTGCAGAGCTCACTGCTTTTGCGTGCAGGAGGGGGTGGGCCGCCGGGTTGGGGAGCAGATGGAGCATCTTGTCCCG